CCGGTCACGAGCAATGAGTACGGGAAACCGGTCTAGGAGACTCGGGCAGAAAACCCGATGGCTAAACCTAGATAAGATGTCCATAAGGTTTCAAAAAAAAAATAATAATAAAAAAATTATAACAAAAATAATAATGTGGAAGTGTGTTGGTTTTGGTGAAGGATGGAGGACCGGTTAATACCGGAAGAGTTGTTGATTATGGTTGAAGTGATGAGTTGTGATATATGCTATATTTGAGCCACTTGACCTATATTTATCTTACCCGACCCGTTAAGCCTACATTATGTCCAGAAAGTCCTTTTGATTCACTGTCTCATTGATTTGATTGGTTTAGAGTAGTGGTTAGATGATAGGCAAGCGTATGATCGATTTGGCTGACGACCAATTTGAGTGCTCCATCTTTTATTTTTGCAAGAAAATGAGTGAGGCATTATATCATATCTCCATTCTAGAGAGGTTGTGTTATCATGTGATTGAGTTCATTGTTGAGGTGTGTTCTCGAGATCATTGGAATTCTTTTTAACTTAGTTGATCAATCTGAGACTTTTCTCGTTTGAAACCGGTGTCCACTCTCGTTTGCTTGTTTTATTGCTTTTCTTTTCTTTTCTTTGTTCGGGACGAACAAAGGTTTTAGTGTGGGGGAGTTGTTTGTCCCGTTTTTGTTGCTATTTTTGTGATTTTCTGTGTGTCGTTTCCCCCGTTTTGGGTCTTTTCTTAGGCATTTTCGGTCCTCTTTGTCATTTTTTATGCTTTTATCTTTATTTCGGTGTGTTTAGTATTTTCTTTGCTTTCTTTCTTTTTTCTCTTTGTTTTTCGTGCTTTTCCGGTTGTGGTGATCTCAGGTTTTAGGTTGCTCGAATTGGAGAGCATTCAGTCGAGAGGAGAGCGTATTGATCGAACGTCAATTTGTGGGCTCAAACTTACGAGAATCGAGTTTCCCGCTCGGGCAGTACCCGAGAGACGCTAGCCGAGCATACAAGCCGTAATGTGAAGTTTTTTGATGTTGTCCAGCCCTTAGCGCCGCTAAGGTCAGTTGGTTAGCGGCGTTTTATGACTTAGCGGGGCCAGAGAGAAGCAGCTAACGAGGCTTAGCGGCGCTATGGAACCTTAGCGCCGCTAAGGTCTATTTTGTAACAACTACGCGATTTCCGTGATTTGGAATTGGGGATGTTATTGCTCGAGCTTAGGTTATTTTCTGGCATTATTCAGACCTCGTTTTTCTGAATCTGGCACCCTAGAACATTACTTTTTATCTATCTTTCATCTTGGATTGGATTTTTGGAGGATTTAAACTCATTTTCTAGCTTTGGATTCGGTTTGCTCGTTGATTCATCGACTTTGGATTTGGTATTAATTGTAAGCTTTTCTTTTCATCTTATACATGAATGTGATGGCTTCTTTTATGGTGAATGCTTGTGTTGATGTTGCGATGAGTGGCTAATTCCATAAGTTAGGGATAGGGGACGATTGTTCGGTTCGTTTTCAATTACGTGTTTGATAATTGTTCAATCCTTGCGAGTTGTGCATATTCTAGGGTTAGTTGATTGATCACCAATCTAACCTAATCAATTGACGTTTAGAACCGAAAGGGGAGGCGTCGGTCGATTTAGGCTCGTTTGGAATAGACTTGTTCGTTATTGTATTGTCTATGTGTTGTAGGGCTTGATGAGTTGCTCGTGTATGTCCACCTTCTTGTTACGAAGAGTTATTGAAGGTGAACCTCTATACGAATAGGCGATTCAATCCCCTTAACCGAGCAATTGATTGCCCGGTAATTGAGTCAAGAACCGAAAACGATTGTCCCCGACTCCCTAACTACTTTATAATCAAGTTAATCGTTTGCTTTGAAATTTCGTGTCTCTTTGCTTTATTATTCGTAGTTGATAAATCAAATCTCCAACTTGAATTAGAGTGTTTAGGACTTATTTCTTATTTTCTTGTGTTGAATAACCGTGCAAAATAATCCGGCTAACCTTCCTTGTGACACGACCCGGTGTCGAATCTTTGGGTTCTACTCCGGTTAAAAATATTTACAACACCCGGCTCGGCCAGTCGGGTCAAGGTAAAAAAATATGACCCTTGATCGGCCCGTTTGAAATTCGTGTCGGGGTTTTATTAAATGCTACATGTCAGCAATTATATATATATATATAGATTTTGAGGAAACTTGATCTCAAACATACGGCGAAAATGGAAAGAGAACTATTCAATGGCCAAGACATATATGTGTAAGTAGTCCCGCTCACCTGCCCACGGTGGGCAGTGCCCACCACTTTATTTTACATGAAAAATGTATTCTGAGAATACGTTTTTCAATTAAATTAATTGAAAATAAAGTGGTGGGCACTGCCCACTGTGGGCAGGGGATCAAAATTTTATGTGTAAGCTAGTAGATATCATGTGCACATGCACATATGTAGATAAAATATTAGTAAGTAATATTTGAGAATTTAATATTAAAATTCTAGATAATGGACATATTACATTTTTAAAAATTTGATCATTAAGAAAAATAAATTAACGATTTTATTATTATACATAATTATTTATTATCATTTGATAATAACAGTTTAATTATTATTATTATTATTATTATTATTATTATTATTATTAAAAAATAATTATTTATAAGTTTCTAAAGTTGTTTGATTATGCTATTAAAACAATTTACTAATTGTTTTTAAAGAAATTTTTTCATGAGATACAAAAGAAAAAGATAGTATTGATGTTAATATAAATAACTTGAAACTATTGTTTATAATTATGTAATTTATATTTATTGTGAATTATTATTAGTTGGTATTAGCAATAACTATTATATAATATAATAAAAAACACATGATTACACTCATTAAGATGTATTAATGTGGGAAGTAAAAAATATTAATGACAAATTTTGTAACTGAAAATGGAAGAAAATTTAGAGGTTTTATTAAATAAATTTTATTAAATGCTACATGCTAGTAATTATATATATATATATATATATATATATTATCCATTTCCCTTCTTGCTTAGAACTTAGCTTAACTTTATTAATTAATTAGAAAATTATTCGATTAGGAAAAATAAATAGACGAGGATTTCCATTTAATTTTTATTTGATTAGGAAAAATTAAAGGCAAAATAGCTCGTTATATCACAACTTTTTACCATATTGCTAAAACATCAAGACTTTTGAACCTTGGCGGAGAATATCACAACCTTTGATTTATTTGCAAAACGATACACGAAAGTCGCAAACCGGCCATCGTTACATTATTTAAAATCATATCACGAAAGTCTGAAAGTATCATCACCTCCGAAATACTCCATATTGTTCTAAATAGATATAAATCTTACCCTATGGTGTATCAATGCCGGTTTCTGACTTTCGTGTATCGTTTTTCAAAGAAATCAAAGGTTGTTATTCTCTGCCAAGGTCCAAAAGTCGTGATGTTTAACAATATGGTAAAAGGTTGTGATATAACGAGCTATTTTGCCAAAAATTAAATAGACAATGACATCTACTTTAAGTTTATTTGATTAAAAGAATTAGTCGAGCAATAAACAAATGCAAAAATGAATTTTGCTCTAATAAAAAAAAACAAAAAAAACAGGGCGCTACACGATGGACCTCTTCTCACCCTCTTCTCGCCTCCTGCTTCCATAGACTGTCGTTTAGAGGTCACCAGAATGTGCTACTCCACAACATGATTAGGTCATTGTACCACC